TTAATCATTTGAAATTCTAGGAATTCTTTTTCTTCTCATTCATGTCCAGTATGCTATAGCTAGCAGGCAGTTAGCTTACCTTTAGAGCTATATATTAGCCTGTCACAAAACTATCAGTTTTGCCATATAATTTGTCTTTTGATTTCAGATGTAAAAACCTTTTACATCACAAATACTTGTAGTAATTTGGAAATATTGCAGTTGTCTGACACAGCAGGCCAGACTCTATAATGTGGATTTTCTGCAGCGCATTTAGCATAGTACACATCTCAGCTGAATAGATGGTGGCACAGACTCACAGGTGTCAGATTCAGACACAAAAATCCAGCACAAGTGATGCTCTGTTTAGTACAATGACTGGAATAACTATCTAAGCCTGAAGGTGTCAAAATCTGCCTACCACCAAAACTGATCAGATATGCTAACTGGTTCAGCATTACGTTGAGCATACAGACCTGACATTCTAAATCCAAAATACTAAAAAGCAATAAAGACCCCTCCTTCTATCATAATTGTTAATGTTTTATATATGTTTTTTTTTTAAATCTAGTAAGGTTTTTAGGTCTTGTACTATGCTTTGCTCATGAGATTGGCATAGACTATATACATAACATTTAACTAAATCTTAATTCATTTTTAGTGTTTTTTCTTAAACCAATTTTAATGGTTTTGAAGCCACTGGAGCTTTTTTCAGCTGTCACATGACTAACACACCAAGACAGACAACCAGTCATGCTCATATTCCCCCCCTAATCTAGGATCGCCAATTGACCTAACAAGTATTTTGGGACTGGAAGAAATCCACAGTGTACCTTGAGAGAGCAAGAGGAACAGGTAAACTGCACACAGAAAAGTACCAGCCGGTCGGTGGATTCAAATCTGAGACCTTCTTGGTGTGAGGCATCAGTCCCAAACACTGCACCGCTGTGCTGTCCTGAATTAAAATTATGGCTTGTTAAAACAACATGCAATGATAAAAAAAAAATCCTTTCTTTTTCATGTAGGAATATTTATCTATCCTACAAGAGCAGATAGGAATATTTTTAAACGCATTCAAGCAACAGGAGATTTTGCACTAACCATTTGGTGATCTGAGATTTTAACAGTTCTTATGGCTGTGATAAAATAACAGCTATAAAAACACTTTTGGAATTAGACGATAATTTGTTCTGAAAAGCAAGGGTGCTGTACACCCTGTGACCAACCAAGTTATGTGACACAGATAAAGGCAGGAATTACCGTGTGAACAAAAACTAAATAAATAAATGCACAGAAGCTCTTACCTTCTTATGACCAATCAAAAACTGAAGGCTCAGCAAACCGAGCAAAAGAAACAAGCTGCAACACGCATACCTCAAAATACTGTCGATCGGAAAAGTGTCTTCTGTCTGTCATGAGGTGTTTCCGTACAAATGAAACTCCACGCTGTTAGTCCGTGAGGGAGCCGAGCAGCGTTAATTCTTTCAGGGCTTTCTGCTGCTTTTCGACTGTGTTTGTTAGCCTGAGGCCATGAATTCCCCAGCAGGGCTGAGTGGGTGTGTTTGTGTGTAAGTGTGTGTGTGTGCGTGTGTATGTGTAGAAAAGAAAAAGAGAAGATGAGTGTGAAGCAAAGGCGGCATGTTACACCATCACCTGGGTGTGGGCAGCCTGAAAGAGGGGTTCCAAGAGACAGAGTGAAGTTTAAAATTACTTCCAAGAAAAAGCATCCATGGACTGAAAATGTGGATTCCACTGATTGCTGTCAGTAAACCTAAACATTACATACTGCTACAAATGGCCAAACACCATTGCAAAATCCTTTGTGACAAAATATTTGCATAAGGCTTATTACACAGTATACCATGAAGGGTTTGACGTCATAGGGTCAACAACAACCACAACAACAGCAACAACAAGACAGAAAAAAAAATCATCGAAACAAGACCACTGGTTGTCGTAAGATCTTAAACACGCTGTTGGGCAAGCGTGTGAGACTAGATTTAGTTTTTAACACTTCAACACACAAATCAGGAACAACGAGGCACAGACATGGACAGGTCCCTGTTTAAACTGGGCTTCTTACCAAGTATAAAGACTGGCTTTAAAAGCCAAGCAAAGTATTTCTGGAAAGAGGCGAGCGTTAACAAAAACCTTTTGTTTGTTGGCGGTGAGTCACAATTAATAAAAAGAAACAAAAACCTGACAACACACAAATATAGGCAACTGAGCACTTGTGTCACTCAGATAGACCAATTTATCGCTTTTGAATGATTTCAGTTCCTCTTATGTAACTGCAGATTACTTCCTTCTGACTTTCAGACTGATGGTAAAAAAAAAAAACTATGCTTTTTTTTAGGTTTTTGAATTATTGTGATGAAAGTAATGAAGAAAACAAGTCTCAATTCAATCATTAACAAAAATAATTTCCCACAAAATGGCAGGTTAGATTTGTTGCCTTTCTTTGCTCATTTTACAATCAGATAGATTAGATTAATATATCAATGATGAATTAATAAATTTAGAAATAATGTTCAGATACCTCAAAGTAAGTTCCTGTGTTTTAATGGCAGTGAGCTCTCTTGATTATAGGAAAAGAGCCATCCAATTCTAGAGAAGGACAGTCATGTCACGCAGAATGAGCTCTCAAAAAAAGTCAACACGCACACACAAACACACACTTTTTAAAAGTCCCCAAGTAATCACAGACAACCATGAAGTCTTTTCTTCTGATTGTCTGTAAAAACACTCTGTTTTTTTTAAAGTTTTTTGGTTCATAAGTGAACAAAAGTGACACTTGCCAGGCACACGCGTTGTTGCCACTCGCACACTGTCACGCTGGCACTTGAGTTGTTATGGTAACGACTGTTCTCTCCAGGGAGGTTTTTTTTTTTTTTTAACACAAACTGAGAGCGAGGTGGAGTGAACTAACTCTTTCAACACTCATCCACAACAGAGGCCTCAGCGGGACAATAAGTGGAAATATTCATTACCGCAGACAATTATCTAGAGGAGTTACTGCTGTATGCCTCCGCTATTATTCTGCTGGGATCTAATGAAAACAGCATCAACTGAGGAGGGCGTATGGACGCTGATAAATGAGAAGGAAATTCCACAAGAAAATGAGTGGCAAGGCAGAAACTTTAAACAAGGCTGCACTTAGAGGACAGTGGAGGGTGTACAGAAACGCTAAACTGATTCTGCAATGCAGTAGGTCTCAGAGAAATAATGGCCACCAACACGCAGCTGGGGAAAGTCTAACACACTGTAAGGTTCTTTTGATTACTTTTATCCTTTTTTTATTATGTAAAAACTTGCTTTTTTCCACGACCTGGCTTTTTGCTAAGTTTAAGCTTGCATATAAAACTTTACTCCTGTTTACATTCAGTCTATTTGGAAAGCTCCCATCAGAGTGAGATCAGTAACACTTAAGCTGCAACTCCAAGTTCATTAATCAGTTAGTTGCTTGAAATAAAAACAGTCTCTCTTCATTGTTTTATGGATTAAATATCTTTGTTCAAGCTTGTGAAGTGATCTGTTTTATATAATTGTGAAAAAATAATGGTAGGTTTTTAGTCCTTAATTAACTGTTCATTAGTAAGTATTATATCAGTAGTTGCTGTTCGGTTCAGTGTTAGTTGTTATTTGTTTTGCACCAATCACAGGGACAGTTAACTCAAGGCACGTTATAGTGCAAAGTAAAGACCCTGAAAAAAAACAGGGGGGAAAAACAGCAATCAAAAAAGCCTCTCTGAGCGAGCAGTTAGTGACAGTGGGAAGGAAAAACTCCCTTTTAACAGGAAGAACCGTCCAGCAGAACCAGGCTCAGGGAGCAGCACCCAGATACCAATCCTCATATGAAATATTTGATGCTTTTATTTCACGATCTTGAGTTTAGGCACTGCCTTTCTTGAACAAAGTTCAAGTTTTCAAGTTTATAATTTGCAGTAATTTAAAGTTTGTTCACTACATTCAACCTCTCCTTTTAGCTGTAAACTTTCCTATTCAGCATCTAAATGACTCCTGCATTAAAGCAAACATGTATTTAAAGATATGACCACGCGTTTTAAATTACTGCTGAGAGATGCTTGTCATCTTTTCTTTTAATAAATGAAAAGCATGCTCGGTTGACTGACTTGCCCGTTGCAGAATATCCCATTTCACTGCCTTGAATAACTTGTCGGTTTGCACCTTGTTGCAAACTCTCTATATTTACATTCATGCAGACGCCTCCATGGTAGATACTGACAATGATACACCTATCTCCCTGAGTGTGTTCTTGTCTTCTTTAGATGTTGTGAAGTTGTTTGTCTTAACCATGGAAATAATCCTGTCATCACACACATTAGTCATCTTCTGTGGACTTGCAGGCCTTTTGGTACCAGGCTGTTGATTTGCCCGCTCCTGAAATTTCTGCAACTCTCTGATAGGGTTATTTTGTTTTTCAGTCAAATGACTGAATCCTTCACTTTTACTGACATTTATTTGGGCCTAAGTGAAAACTTATAAAATAAAACAAATCTATTATTGATATTAGTTAGGCTTTCTATTTTGCACATCCTCTGACAGCCTCTCGGGTTTCTTTCTAAAGCAGCAGCAGCAGCCAGACAGCTGTGTATATGGAAGACACTGTGTTTCCCAAAATCTGTCATGACATGCACACCTGACAGTAACATCCATTCCTTGAACAAGTCTCATCACATGGTGTTTCTGGGAATTGGTATCGGAAAACTCTCACCGGTCATTATCTTACCTACCTTTTTTACTATGTGTGTGTATATATATTAGAAACAAATCTTACTCTTGATATCTGAGAGTAAAAAAAAGTTAATTCCTCTCCTGTAGAGATGATAAAACTACAGCAGTTATTGTGTAACCTCTGTTCCTGGTGGAAACACAGCGCAGGCAGGCAGGCAGGCTTACTCTCTAAACACATTTGTGCTGAGGGTCTGCATATTGCAACGTCATGACCCCAGGCACTGGAATGCGGCGGGCTGCCTCCTCACCTGCACAGACATGCTTTGATAATGAACAAAGTTTTCTTTCTATGTGAAAAAAACAGCAGCTAGGACTCCACAATCTGCCGTGACACTCAGCTGCTTATCCTGAAAACACACTTGCACAAGCCTCACATTTTTTTCACTTTCCTATCAGTCAAAGAAAATATTTTAAAACTCACGTTTGTGGATAGTTTAAAGAATGAAAATGAATAAAACAAATTCTGGATTTGCATGCTTGTGCGATCGTATAAATGTTGGCCAATCAGTCTTTTATTAACTTGTACAGTACATTTGGGCCTATGGCAAACACTCGGATTAATCATAATGGTTTGTTCAGCAGTATCTGGAAACCCCTGTGCTCACAGAAACATAAACACGAGTTAATCTTTGAGTCTTACCTGATTCTGATTGAGCTTCCCTGAGAATAAAAGCTTTATGGAAAGTACAATTCCTCCCGGAGAGCCCTGTGCACGTCAGTTCGCCTCTCGCACTGTTAGTCGAGCAGAAGGGGCAGGTAGCCACTCCCTCACCTCTGGCGTGCTGATCTAAGGTGAGTCGACTTCCTTATTTCAGGAGTCTTTCATGATCCGGGATAAATAAACTGTCTCCCCAACAGTTTTGAACTGTTTACGACCCAGGAATGATTTTTGAAATATAATACAAAAAAGCAAAGAGAAACCGAGTTCTTTAAAATCAAATATGCACAAACCCTGTCCTGAAATATTCTTATATTTATTCTCTCCCGTCTAACAAACTTTTTCCTCTACGTTAAGTCACCTTCACTGGTGTTATGTTGTAGCTAAATCTTCTGAACACCAGAGGGCGCTGTACGCTCAAAAATATCGGGCTGACGTTAAGCGCCAACCTGCAACCTCCAACTATTTGTATAAGCAGATATAACTCAAGTCCTGAATGCAGTTGTCTCACGCGACCTTAGATCAGCTATTATTTTTTCCTTATATAGCTCATGTTATAAAAAAGTGGACTCATCTACACTGAGCTTTCCTGTTGAGGTTTTTGATTTCGTTGATTATAAGCAGAAGGACAGTCTTTAGGATAATACAGGTTTGAAGGATGTTTATCTGCTTTAAATCCTTTATTTAGTTAACGCATACATACAGTCCAAAGCATCACTTTTCTTAGCAGGATAGCGGTGGGTTTGGAGCCTATCCCAGCCCCTATCCAGGGTACACAGGGCTAATTTAGAATCACCACTTAACTAATTTCCTCCCAGTTGGACTGCTGGAGGAAACCAGAGCACGTGCAAGCTCCACATAGAGGTCCCAGCCAACCAGCCGCAATGAGGCAAATGAGCCAACAGTGTTTACCACTTACCTATAATTTTCTTTAGAAAGGTAATTCGATCTAGGGACGGGCGTTATAAGGTTGCTCGATCTATAAATGGTTACATTGTTCCATCCTCGTACAAATTGGTGCAAATACAATTTATATTTAAACAAATATACTCACCGGCCATTTTACTTTTGCACTTGGGTACACTGTGGTCATAAAGGGGTGGACATACAATTATATTCAGGTAGGGTG